CAAACAATTGATGATATACCTAAAGAATTGTTAGAAGACGCATGCCAATTAGTTAAAGCAAACAGTATTCAAGGATGCAAATTAGCAGAAGTTAAGGTAGTCTACACTATGTGGTCAAATCTTAAGAAGCTACCAGGCATGAAACCTGGGGAAGTGTCATTTTTGAATCCTAGTAGTGTATGTTTGAAATATCTACTTTTTTGTATGTCATAGTCAAAGTGTAAAATTAAGTCATTTTAAACAATGTGTAATATTTCATATTATAAAATAGGCAAAATTAACAAATTATATGTATGAATACTCTTGAACCACTTGAAAGCATTTTTTTTAAACTTATATTTAGTGTTTGTTGAAAATCTGGACATATTAAATTTTAAGTTAAGAAAACATGTAGTATTACAAATTGTATGCTCTGAATAATCCATTTAACTCTGTTAGGTTTAATATTAGTGTGAATTGTGATTTATTATCAAATTCAAAAGTAAGAATATTTTCTAGTGAATCCTATAGGTTTTGTTTTGTCTCATATCTTAAATTAATAAGAATTAAAACATTTAAAATTTATGAACAAGTTACAATTTTAAAATTACCATAGTTTTTTTAAAAATAAAAACAATAAAAAACATGAAATTCACTAGACAATATCTTACATCTAAATTTGATTGTAGGCCAATTCACTCTAATATTAAATCTAGCAGACTTAAATGGATTATTCAGAGCTTAAGATTTGTAAAATGTTTTTAAAACAAAGACAATGAATGAGGCTGTAGTGTTCTTTGAATGAATGTAAATAATTAAAGTCAACTCAAATTTCCGGTAAATGATAGTTAAAATGTATAGTATAAAATATATACTATAGATTAACCTTTTTGATAACCATTAATATCTTGGATTCTTTTTGTTTCTACCTAAAATATCTATTATTCTTTTATTAAATCATTCATTCTATTGCATACTAGTCAGAAATACACACATAAATCATACTGTATAAGGTATATGACTGAAATAAAACAAGCCCTAAATAGTATTAAAGATACTTTTTATTGATACAACATGTATTACTTTTATCTACAGAGGATACTTCTGTTTAAATAGAAAACACATCACTTAAAACGTGTTTTAATTTTCATATAATATTCTAGAGCAGTGCTTCTCAACTCAGAGGCCGCAGTCCCCTAGAGGACCATGGCTATACGAATGAGGGCGCTTAAAATATTTAATTTAAAATGTTATTGGTTATTTAGTTATATTATAACTGGTCATATGATTAATCATTGTCAGTCTAATGTTAGATTACTATTATTATATAACAATACAATTATTAGGGGGCCTTGACAGTTTTACGTTAGATATAACAAAAAAGGTTTAGAACACTGTTCTAGAAGATGGCCTAACTTAAAGGATTTTGGCATTTTATAAAATAGGTAGCCTTTATAAATACTGCTAGTACACTTTGACTTTAACATATATATATAATACATGTTTTAAGATCAATATAAATAACTCAACACAATCTTAATTTTTCTTATCCTATAGGTAAAAAAGGTTAATGTGAAAAAAGAGAAGACCATTGTTAATAGATTACAGAAGACCGAAAAAAGTATAGTAATTGATTACGAGAGCGCAAGGGCTGAAAGGGAACGTAGAGAAATTGAAAAGAAGAAAGCAGCAAGAAAAATAAATTTAGAAAACAAAAAAGAAGAAGAGCGTAGGAACCGCGAAGCTGCTGAACTAAAGTGATTATAAATTATAGCTATAAATTCATAAAAAAAATTCAATATTGTTTGTATTTTCTCTTATTTTATTTTATCTGTACTTAAAATTAATTTATGCTTGTTTAAAAATTAGAATTCACAAGAAAAATGCCAACAATTACATTTTTTATTCTTGAAATTAATATTACAATTGTCTTATAAAAAATTTTTGGTTGGGTAATTGTAAATGAATAAATTTATCCCTATCTAATAGCATGCAAATGTCTAATATAACGTAAAATTTCAATCATTTTAATGGTCATGTGTAAAATTAAAAATTTTAATTATATTTAAAACTGCCTCAATTCACTAGGGTTTCTATAGAAATAAATATTTCCTTTCTTTTTTTTAATCAGTTAGCTTATTTGGTAAATTAGATTTGTGTATATAAAACTAAAATCCTCTATATTGACAGTATTTAATTAACAAATATTTTAACCATCCAAAGTGTAAATTTATTAGGGGAAATGTAAATATTTTTTTGTCATGACGAACTAATACATTTCTATGAGTAAAATCTATTTTATGCTCAATAAGATCAAAATTAATTTAAACTTTATAGTTATATTTGTAAATAGTTTATAAACAATTTTTATGAGTTATTGTTATATGATGATCAGAAAAAGAAATAAGGAGTATTATCAGATGAAATATTTTATCACTTAATCTCAATTCTTCGTGCATAATACCAAACTTAGTTTTTAGTTTTTACCACCATATAATTGTATTAAATGTTTAAAAAATTATAGCATTATTTTAATGATAGTTTTTTTAATCACCCCGATTTACAATTACCTCATTTTGCTATACTTAATTAAAATACAAATCATTAATATTTATTTATCTTATTTTATAATAATTTTCAGGTCTTACTCATCTCTTATGAAAACTGAAAACATGACGGCCAACACTGATTACTCTGGCTATGATTCAGACAGTTTTATGTAAACACACGCACAAAATAAAATAAACAAATAAAAAATAAGAACTTATAAATTCAGTGAGCTTATCATTATTTGTAGTTACTTGTTTACACTTAAGTTAAAAAATATTTTTGTCTCATCAATGTATTTTTTTTTTTTAATAAATGAGCTTAATTAATATTTTAATAAACGTGTTTGATAAATATTATTAATCAATCTTTGACACTTTTAAATACAATTACATTTTTATTTTTATTTAATTAAAGAAATACTCCCAATAAACAGATAGTTTTTGGTTTAAATTATATGTAATATGCTAGGATCTAGGCATTTACATTATAAATACGTAATTCTTGTAGTAACAGGTACTATTAATGAAGAGGAGTTGAATACCCCCTGATAAGTGTTATCACTTTGGCCAGTTTTAATGTACTATTTTGCCTAATTTTGCACTTAATAACAAAAACTTGAAATTGTGGTTAATCTTATGATTTAGATGTTCTTGAAAACTTCTTGTTTCATTCTGTGGCATATGTATTATTTGACAACCAAGAAACTCATCGAGATATTATGAGCAATAATTAATATACGGTGATTTGGTACTCATTGAGAAATTTATAAATATTTATAAATTGGTGATCTTTATTATAAGTTATAGATTATGTTGTAAAAAGTATTTAAGTATTTACTCAAATACTTTTCAAATTAAGTGCTTAAAATATCATCCAAATACTATTAGTAATAAACTTATAAAGTATTTTAAAAAATCTTCAAATAGGTACAAAAAATTATTTTTAGTTCTTTTTAAATTAATTTCATTTAAAAGTTGTTTCATTGCATTTCATAAACATAATTCGTTGGTATGTCATGTTTGTTATTTTATTGTAATGGTCGCACCACCAACACTGAACACTCTTCTTCAAACGCACTGCTAGGTAAAGGGAGTATTGGCTTGATGAAGACCTAAAAATAAAGTACAAATATTTTTATTATATTACTTATATTACTAACACTTGATTTTTCTTATTGATCTTGCTGTTTGAATTCTGATGCCTCGACTTGATAAAATATAAAGTCACAAAAATTTTAAGATGTTCAACTGTACAAAAACTGAAAAAATAAAATAGCCCACAACGACGCTAATTGCAGATTATCAATAAAAATCGGAGTCATACAGATTAACAGATGTCCAGAGGATTGAGACATTCAATATCGGTGACCTAGTGTCGCTAATGCTAGATTCCCTGGAATTAGAATACTGTGGCAGATTTCGCGGGACCTGTAAAGTCGGTCAAATAGTCCGTGGAGCGCGAGAGGCCACTGGTGAGGTGGTTTTTCCGATCTGTCGGCGGGCGGTGGGTCGTCGACAACGGTGACAGTGCCACCGTAGCCACCTGACTGTGTTCCGATGATGAAAGGCGCAAACGCTAATGATGATTACTACCATTGTAAGGGTGTCCTAGGTGGAGGATTATTACACCAGATCATCCAAAACAAAAGTTGTAAGATTATTAAAAATAAAAAAGTAAAACAAATTAAAAATTAAAATATTAAAATAATAAACCTGTTGCAATTATTGYTTAATCTAGCCAATCACTATTGTTTGGCAGTCTAGTAATCAGTAATTAATCAGTCTGTGTAGAAACAAACAATATTGTTGTCAGGAGGAGAGTAATAAATCAGAAATTTATTAAAAGTACTTTTAATTTGTTGTTGATAGTTTTGTATCATTGCTAGAAGTAATTTTAGAAGATTATATTGTGTATTAGTTACATTCTATCTTTTTTGGATCAAAAAATAAAATGTCTCTGTTAACCGCTTAAAGCAACTTACAGGAAAACCTTATTTCCAAAATGAATTTAACAAGAGTTGTCAAATTGGTAGCAAGACTCAACAGAAGTAAGTGTTTGAATTAAAGTTATAAATTATTATTGATTATTATTAATATAGAAACAAATCTACTTAGTCAAATATTTTTTTCCTAAAAAAAAAGATACCATTAATGTCATATAATGTTAAAAATATTGAAGGAAACGGACTAGACGGTCAGATAGGTAATTTGGTTTTTCAAGATAAATTATATTAATCAAATATTTTCATTACTAAAATTATTATATACATCAATAATAAGTACTTACCAATAATCTGATCTAACATTTATCAGTATGTAATAATGACAACAGTACTACTAACTCTGTAATTATTACAGCACCAACCTATGCCGACCTACCTACGTCTATTTATTGTATAATTATACATTAATAGTTACATTCTCAATATTATTTTATTGTTTTTTTTTCAGATTTGTATGCGTATAACATTAATAAAACTAAAACTATTTGTTTGAGTTCACATTTGTCTACGTTTTCTAGTAATTACTTTTACTCAAATATTTCCTCAAATCAATTCCTCCCAATATCCTATAGAACAAATCATCTGAATTCTAAAATTCGTCAAATATCATATACATCGTCACTATTATCGAAAAATCAATGTTCCAAAATTAAAGAAGCTGTAAATGCTGACAAAATAAAATGTAAAAACAAAGAAGCTAATATAAAAAAACTTAAAAAATCGCTGAAACAAAGAATTATTGATGAACTTTATCATTTTTATTATGGTTTTAAACTTCTGGGACTCAACACTAAAATCTCTTTTTATTTGGCTATTAAAAAATTGAGAGGTATTGAATTAACAAGAAGAGAACATAAATTAGTAAGCTTGTTACAAATTAAGTAACTACATAAATATACAATTGATAATTAAATTATAGCCTATATATGATAGTTGGTATTTAAAATTTATTGAAAATTAAAAATAATATGATAGTAATTACTATGGTTTTTTTTTTTATTGTCAATATATACTATACTTATCTGTTATAAGTTATCAGATAAGCAAAGTCGGTATTAACTAGTTCAAAAACTATCTAGTTGGTTTATTTTTTAATAAACACAAGAACTAGTTAAAGAATACACTAATAACATAGCTTTTAAAGTACCTAAATGTTATAAATAGTATTAAAAATTATGTTTGCCATAGGTACATATTTATAATTATAGTTAAAAACAATTAATTAAATTGATTGAAAGTAATTCAAGTAATTCCATACAAATAAACAAATTATTATTCTTTTATGCAATAAAAAGGGTAGTATATGATGCATTTCTAACAATATTTTGTTAGTTATTAATACTTATTATTTAAATAATTGAAATTTGCACAATCACTATGTATAACTAATATGGTAATTAAAAGATTGACTTATTTTTAACCGAGTCAATTAATATTATTATTCATATTTACTGTAACCTTACTGTTCGTGAATAATTATTAACTGACTTGTTTAAGTCATTTTTTTAAGGGTACATTTATACAAATGCAATTCACTTTATGAATTATAGTTAAAACAAATTTAACTTTTGGATGAAATTTTTAAAATATAATTTTATTTTGTGAGTTATGTATTAACTTAGTTTGTAAGAATTAGATAAAGATACATAGTAAATAATATTTGATGAATACTTATTGTTAGTAAATAATTTTGTAATTAGTAAGTAGGCATATCAATAAAAATAAAGATGAACAATTTTTTTATCGAACTTTATGAATTAATTTATATACATTATTTCAGTTCGTTCAAACTATAGCTGATCTTTTGCGACTAATACCTTTTTCTGTGTTCATTCTCGTTCCATTCATGGAGTTGACTTTGCCTTTTTTTATAAAGTTTTTCCCGGGCATGCTACCAACTACATTTCAAACAAAGGATCAAAAGGTAAACTAATTATTTATAAAAAAAAACCCGTAATCTAAATTTTAACGAATTATTTTAGGAAATAAAACTCATACAGTCTCTCAAAGTGAAACTTGAAATGGCCAAATTTCTTCAAAAGACTTTAGACAACATGTCTGTGTGTGGTAAAGAACACACGAGTGAATTAGCTCAAGAATTTGCGGACTTTTTCTCAAAAGTATAAGTGATTTTGTATATTTTTAACTTATATACATTTTTTCAACTTCAACTACATATTAGGTAAGAAAAGAAGGTATTGTTATACCAGCTCACGAAATGCTTAAGTTTTCAAAGCTATTCAAAGATGAAATCACTCTTGACTCACTACCTCGACCACAGTTAGTTGCCCTTTGTCGAGTCCTTGAACTACAATCGTTTGGGACTTCAAGCGTTTTGAAATATCTTTTGACTCTTAAACTTCGATCTTTATTAGTTGACGATAAGGTAAACAACATATTATTTCAATTTTAATCATTTGATGACAATATTATTTTAAATATTTAGATGATTCAAAAAGAAGGCGTTGATTCTCTGACGTTGAGTGAGCTTCAAGAAGCCTGTAAGTCTCGTGGTATGGGTGCTTATGGTCTCACTGAAAACCGCTTGAAACAACAGTTAACCCAGTGGCTAGACCTATCACTCAATGAAAGAGTTCCACCATTATTACTTCTCCTCTCTAGAGCGTTTAGTCTTACATCTAATATTCCAACTAATGATTTACTGAAAAATACGATATGTTCTCTGCCTTATGGTGTTGGTGCATCAACTGAAGCTGACTTGTGTGAACGCGATGGTGCTATAAATAATAAGGTAAAATTGGAAGCAACCGAAAAAGAGGAACGTAAGGCAAAAGAAGAAATTGAAGAAGAGGAACATAAGGCAAAAGGAGAAATTGAAGAATGTATGGGAAAAAATATATTACTACAACTAGATGATACCCTTAAAAAAACTTCAAATCATACATGCAATAAAGTTGATGTTTTAAAAGATGCAACTGGAATTGAAGGAGTAAATCTAGATATATTGTTATGTGGATTATACATGGTTATATTGGATTGTTCGTTTTTAATTCACCGAAATGATTATGTATAGGAATTATCATCAACTGATTTAAAAACATTGGAATGTGCTATAGAAAATATGTGCTCAAACCAATCTAAACTTCTTCTTGAAATATCAGAAATCTGTGAATTGAAGAATGAACTTAAATGTTACCAAAATGTAAGTAGTAGATACCCAATAGGTAGTGAAGTATATTATTATCTTAAATTAACTGCGTTACATTTTGCTATTGGCTTTAGGATAGACATGATCTTCAAGAAATAATGGGATCTGTGGAAGAGGAACAAGTTAGAGAATCGGAGCCAGCTAAACAATTATATAATGCACTCATTAAAATAATAAATGACATAGATCAGGTCGTCAATGAATTAGAGAAAAAAGAATTAGTCAGTGCAAATATTACTACCGATGGGTAAATACTTAAATATTTCATTTTTATCATATTATTAGTTATTTTCACAATTGAATTATGTTTATCTTTATTTTAGTAAATTAATCAAGATTGATGAACTAATCGCAGTAGTACGAAAATTACAAAATGTACCAGATGAATGCAAAATACAAAAAATAGTTAAAATATTGTCTAAAATAGACAATGATAAAGATGGTTCAATAAGATTAGATATTTTGTTGAAAGTAAGCATCATAAAAATAATTATCTTGTTGGGCGTCATCCGAATATTCGATTGCGTCCACAACATGGATAAGTAAAATTATTTTTTTCAACTTTTTATGTTCCGATTGTGTCCTATTGTATAATATATAAGCATACAATCAAACTACTATTTTAATATGATTTTAGTAATAACTGTTGAAGTATTGGATACTTACATTCAAAGTTCTAGGATTGATATACTTATTGATGCTAGGATATAATAGGTATGTAGAAAAAAGAGTTAAATTTTGAATAAAAGCTTTCACAAGTGTAGTAGGTACGTTGCATACCATTGCTTATTTTAGTCCAACTCATTCATTTAGAATTTCCAATACAAACTATAAAGTTTAAAGTATCTTTAGACTCTAAGCACTTGGTGACTGGTGTACCTATACTAAATCGCTACGTAATCGTAAATTGATTAGAATATCAGAATACCAGCCTTAAAATAAAATGTTCGTAATCTCATCAAGTAAAAACAAATTTATGTTAAAAAATACCATACGCAATAAATTTATTAGATTTAATATTTAATGTGTCACATTAATGCTTACCTACTATACAATAGGACGCAATCGGAGTACAGCAAAAATAGGTAAAAAATCGTTTACGTGTGTCCGGGACACAATCAACAAATTCCGGTCTTGTTTGTAACTATTGATTACTAGATTAGTATTATTAAATGTATAATATATTATGAATTATTTTAGATGCTGCGTCTGATGAATAAAGTAAATATGAATTTATCTGATGAAACAATGAATATAATAATGCAAATAGTTATTAAAGAGCAAAATATTGGCAAAAGTGGTACCTAGTTCTTAGTTTCTTACACTAAATAATTACCATCATAGACTTTTAAAGTTATATTTCTATTTGACATTTTCGCCGTAAGATTATCGTTGTTTACCAATTGATCCAAATTAAAACTGCATAACACATTTCTTATTAATCAAAAATCATTGTTTATTTTGAATTAATATTATTATAATTAAATTATAATTAACCGGTTATTTGTTGGTTTTGAACTTTTAATAAATGTTAATAAAGTTATTATTATTACAACTGTAAAACATTTAGATAGAAAAGCATTCAATTTGTAAGTATATTTTATTTAAATTAATTTTGTTAAAAGACAATAATATTTGGTCAAATACCTTATATAAAATAATCTTTTAAACTAATTTTTACACTGCTTATATATATATATAAATATAATATAAATGTCATATACCAAGGTGTTTTATGCCTGATTAAAAAAAATAATAAGTTAATACAAGTAGTAACTGGCTTTTTGTGCAGCCTGCGCATATAAGTAATAATTAGAATTACGTTATACTCTGTAAAGCAAGAACGCACCGCAACCGACCAAAATTGGTTTGATTTCACGCATTTTCTCCTCGCGCAAATCCTAGTAGGTACCTATTTCCTCTTACCTATACCTATAGACCTTAGACATTTAGACCCATGGTTGAAATATACTCCTTCTCCAACAAATATATGAAGATACAACAAAAATTGAAGCTTTCATGAAGCCAGTAATAATATACATACCTAATTGGTAATTGTGATATCCTTTTACGTTGGTAGCCATTTTATTGTATGTGATGATAAAAATTCGAGTTTACGTGCAATAATTTGTATATTTCAATCCTGCCTAGACCGACGTAAATTTCGCTAGACCCCCACAAATTTTGAATTTATTTTTCACTTAAATTAGTACACCTTAAATGTAAATTAATTATACTTGTAAAAACCATCACTGAACGAAAAAACTAGGTGAAATTAATAATACTATGAGTTGAATTAATAATAAAGTTATTAAAATACGGTCAATAAAGGCAATTATTAATAATACAGATTTTATTTTATTAAACTCGCAGTCAATAAATAAAATTATTAAATTAAAAAAGAAATTATTAATTTAATAAATTTAATAAATTTAATACAATTATTTTATACATTTGGGAAGACATCTTACCAAAATAGTTTATTAAATTTACCATGTATTTATTCATTCGATAGTTAAAAACTGTTAAATTAACTATACTTTTTTTCTAAAACAAAAATATTTTAATTGAATGAATAAATTTAACTTAATTGAATTATGATTTTTATTTATTAAAATAAAAAAATTTTAATTGAATGAATAAATTTAATTTAATTTAATTATAATTTTTTTTTATTAAAAAAAAAATAATTGATTGTTATTTTAAATACCAATATAGTGTACGATTTAAAATACACATGCTAATGCTAACCATGTACATTGTTGCACAAAAAGGTAATATATTTTTAAAAAAAAGATTAATATGTTTTAGTGTTTTACTTACAACGATAAGGTAAAATAAACCAAAGTAAGTACCTATTGACTATAATATGTGTAATAATTAAAACTTACCTCTAACTTTGGTACTGGCAAAAATTAATCAAATACAATTTAAAATTACGTTAAACGTTTTTATTTAAAACCAATTCGTGATTAACTTCTGCAATATAAAAATATTTTGCATTGTAGGTGTACCTATATGGAAGGTGTACTATAAATTGTTGTCATTTCGTATGTGTCACCTGCAATTACAAAAATCTACAAAGTTGAAGTAAAAATCTTCAATCAAAATAAATTATTCATGACAATAATTTATACAGATACGAATTTTTTTAATGGATGCAATTATAATTTAGTAGTGCAATTACTCGTAAGATAAAATGAACTTATATGCGATAAAATMGATTACAGTGTAACGTAAAAATTTAAAATAGTTGAAATTGGTAATTTGTACAATATATATAACTTATAAGGTAATAAGTCTCATTACATTGTATTCCGAAAACAGTTTGTCAACGTTGCACAGTTTAAAAAAATTTTTATTACAATTATTTCGGGCGCAAATAGTTTATAAAAAAGGTGCAATGGGCGTAAATGGTTTGCACCGATAAGTAAGTAGGTACCAATTAATAAATATTGTAGTATATAGGCTTAAAATACCTTAAAATATATTAAAGCTTTTAATTGTATAAAATTACCAAGTTAACCTGTTGATATCTTTTTTTACGCTTCGTCACCTCGATGATAAAGACATAAATTACGTTAACTGAAAACTTGCGATAAAATTAAATCATCAGCGTTACTAACATAAACAACTAATTTAACCTTTTCTTTTCACATGAAAAACTTAAAATATGAATAAAGTTTTGGTGCACTGTAATAATTAGGGTTAGGTACGCATATTTTAACGCATTACACTTTCCACTAGAAAACAATTTTGATAGTTGCTTATTGCCAGTTACCTTTAATACAGTTTTGGCACTTGGCAGCCATGAATTCAGCTGAAACGTAAAGCCTAATCAAGATCACAATACTGTTACGATATTTACAAGATCACAAAACAAAAATGTATAGAATTTATAAATATTTATTGGTAAAATGGTCCTAAGCCTCTAAGGTATAGTATATTAGTAGGTCAAGTTAATTTCCAAAGTACCAGAATTTATATAGTTAACATATTTACTGTTTAAAAAAATATTCAAGATTTAATCAAACTTATTTTCAATGTCTGTTTAAAGATAATAATATTGCAAGAACTTAACCCGTATCGATGCATAACCCCACATCCTGTGCACACCTATTAATGATATTTTTATAGTCGTCTAACCACATGATTTCGTATTTCCCTAATGTTAATGATTTCCACGAAATGCTTTCTCACTTACAATTACAAAGTTGGTCGCACCCTACCCTAGCTTGGTTCGGCTGGTGCCTAGTTGACGTGAACTAGACAATGCGGGACGCTAGTCCATAGCATATATATGTATATAGCTATCTATCTTTATAGTTGTACCTCTATATCTATGATGTCTGTTTATCCTTTATTTAAATGCTTTATAATATATGCTTAATTTTTACTTTTTCCAATAAACACGCTTGGATAAATACTGCAATTATAATTATATCAAATTTCGTCGCAATCGGTCCATCAATTGGAATTGGAATGCATAAAGGATAAATAGACAGAAGTCCATTTTTTTAAATTTTTTTCCATATGAATTTCCCATTAAACATACTAACGCTTGTGATTTATTAATTTATTAATTCGCTTAACAAATCATGGAATAAGTAATTTTGAGCAACATTTGTAAACACCTTTTGAATGAGTTCAGCTTTTATTGTGTTAATTGATAAAAACTCTTAGGAAAGGTGATGCAGCCAGTCAGCTCTTATATAGGAAAATTGCCATTACCAATATCAATGAGTTGTTTAAAGAATATATGTCTCTAGATTGATCATTTTGCTACATGACACGCATATTCTTGCTTAAATGTAATATCTCGAGATGTTTCCACAATTGGAGGACTTWAAACATGCATTCAGTTCATCAGCTAGCGTTGAATGTGGAACCACTGGCAATGTTTGGTAAAAATCACTTGGTAATAAAATCATTGGATATTTAAGTAAGTATAATACATTTTCAAAAATATTATGTATAATGATATAATAATATAATAATATATATTACATATTATAATATTGTGTGAAAACATAGAGTCCAAATTTTTTTAAGAAATTGGCATGCTTATTGCAGCTAATGGTTTTATTCATAATACTGAAATAATGATTTATTTACGCAAAATGAATGGCTTTTTAAGGATCGTGTAAATAAAAAAAACGTGCCAACAGACGCTATATATATGTGTATTATAATAATTATATTATAATATTATAATGGGTGCATGATATGATGAGTTATGACCCACCGGCCACCATCATTTATCGTCAAATTCAATTATTCTTACCATCACAAGTTATTCATTGTGGTTATTACTACCTAGTAGGCAATTATCATCCTGCGTCCTAAATGTTATAAGAACATTAGGTAATTTTATCAGATAATTAAATTATGGCTATAGTGGCTAATATTCTACTTATTTGACTATAATATATGCAGTTAATTTTTCGAAAAACAAATCAATTGTTTATATTAAATTATTATTAAATAGATTTAAAGTGGGAAATGATCAGTTCGTATCATAAATTGCAAAACAACAAAAATATAACAATCAACACTTTACATGGCTTGTACTGTTATTTCTTAGTGGCAAGTATTTTTTTTTTATTAACCAGAAAATATTATTAATTTCACTCACTAAAACGTACTGCAAGTTGACATTGTTGTTATAAAACACACCCTAATCCTCAAAAAATTTGTTTGAAAATAACTTTTTTGCATTACTAAAACGTTCAAGAACAAACTTTCTAGAATCTAGACTGTAGATCATAGAAAAGAGATTAAATAGAAAGGCCACTCCTGTAGAACATTTTGAAAACTATATAAATTGTACCTATCTACTCGTATAAAACATTTTTTACAAATGTATTACATGTATACTTGTACATTTTTAATTACAGTGCATAATATAATTATAATGTTATTAAACAACTTGAACTTCTAGTTAAATAATGTAATAATTATAAAAATAACAAGTTCAAATTCAATGGAAATACTTCTACTGATCACTCGCTTAAAAATGTACACCTATATGTGATTAGAAATTTGAGTCAGTCGTCACTATACTAAGTTACTGGATGTTTAAATATCTTTCTTATTCTTTTGAATAATTTTCGAAAAAATTGAGAAATTTTTAAAATTACTGTTTTTGAGTATACAATTTGGATTCAGATTAGAATTGCTGTATAAAGAAACTTAATGAGTTTTTTAACAACTGGAAATTATTTTTAAAAAATATGATAAAAATAGTTGTCACTTAATGTTGTAAATCTTACACAACTTAATATAAAACAAAACTTCTTTTGCCATACGATCCTCAGCTTGGAAACACTTGTGTTGCTTGCTCATTTCAACTATTACAACATTTTATTATTATCAAAAACATTGGTGAATTAATAAAAAATGTATTTTAAATAATGATTAAAAATAAATAAATTACAGTTAAATTCAATGTCAAAATTAAAATAATTAATTGATCATAAAAACAGTAATAATAGTCGATTGAAATTCATTAAAATATACAGTAAAAATGTATAAAATATTATGGTGTAATAAATTATAAATTATCAATGTGTTGAATTTTAAAGAATTGTTCGGTGATGTGTTTTATAAGAAATTACCATTCAATTGTATCATTCGATGACATAAACAATGTCCCCATGGCCCATGTCCAATTTCTAATCAGTATAATATAGTAGTACCTATTGTACTTACACAACTTTAAACAATCTTTCAACTCAAAACATGTTTACACGCACTTAAAAAACAAATCATTATAAGCCATAAACAACATCGAAATGTTCAAAATCTTTAAGTTGACACTCTATTACACGCAGAAATTGCTGTTTTATAGAATTTTCAAGGCAATAGTGGTGAGTGGCATCGAGTGTGTTGTAAATTGTAATAAATAAACAAAATTATATTTCTAAAATACGTATATTTGAAAATTACGACTGTAAAATACTAAAATAGATAGATATGCAATAAAATCGACAATACCACTAATAAAATACAATTAATAATTTGAGGATTCTGTAAGTAATAATAATATAATATAAGAAAAAAACAGAATTATAATATAAACAACGACATTAACAACAACAACAACAACAACTATTTAAGTTCAATTATTATTTAAGTATAATATACCTATAGTTGGTGTATATTATAATATTGTGTACGTGTGTGTGAGTGTGTATGTTTTGTTGTTGGAAAAAAAAATCTACAATAAATGACTACGTATTACCTATACAATACATTGATTGATTGATTAAAGTATATTATAATGATGATGATAATTATAACAATAATAATAATAATAATAATAACACTATATTATGTTGAAATTAAATTAAATATCAAATTATTCAATGGTTAATGAAATATAATGGTAATAATAAGGAATTTATTGTTTTAAATAAAAAGAAAAACAGTTAACTATTTTTAATCAAAGAATAATTATTTTTCAATAGTTTATTTGTATAAATGTAATATATTTTTCAAGTGAGCAGCGACAATAAGTTTAAAATACAAATTTTAATTTTATCTGACCCAACAGGCAATATTTTGTTTGCCGGTGTACGAGTGCTTAAAGTGATGTTTTTATAATAATTAATGTTTATAAATTTATGTAAAATTATCAAACATTTTTTCTACGGCCTACTCGATTAATAATTAATAAATTGTAAAAACAGAAATTTTCAAGCAAATATAATTGGTTCGTTTTTGTGAATATATACGTTGATTAATTAACGTAGGTACTATATATAAATGCAAGTTTTGTCTAAATATTGTATGATTTTTATACGATGTTTATTTTTAATTTATCACTACAATAGTCAATAATAATAATAATAATAATAAATTTAATATTATCTCGTAAACGTTAAAAATTTTAAAACGACTGGTCGAAAAAAGTAATTATGAAACGATTATGCCGATAAAATAATACTGCAGCGATGAAATAACACTGTGCAGTATTGAAGAAGATTATTATTATTATCATTTTTTGTAACGACGCATATGTGATAAGTTCTCCAAGCTCAATGTAATAGAAACTTTCGTCGTTATCGTGGTGTTAATTTAATTTATAATTATTATTATTTTGATTACGATTACATTTGATTATTACATTCTGATGGGACTCGACGGTATTCATATAATGATTATAGTATTATTACCCTGCAGCCACCAAATTTTAGTTACAACACATAAGGTAGGTATATAATACGAAATACAATATCAACCGTTTATGTTTTGGTAGAAACTCCAGRAAATTATTTAAATTGATGTGCGTGTTTTAAAATATAATATWTATTAATAATTAATAATAGTAAAAATAATAATAATAATAATTACACATTGATACGAATTTTGTGTTGGTTACAATCGACATAGTGAAAATGAATATAATATTATGACTGTATTAATGCATTATAATATAAGGCGAGGATGGCGGAAAAGGAATGTTATTAGCTTAAGAGAAAAAAAAACCTAATGATTCTATTTAATTACATTATATAGGAAATTCTGTGGTTTACAAACCGACTGACATGTTATTATGTTGCTGAACCTAATAAGAAACTTGTCACGACAGCTTTGGAAAAGCTATATCAATKAATATAAATAAAGTTTTAATAAAACGCTTTCTCTCCTACATCCGTAGTGAAATAAAATAATTTTATCGAAAATTACTATGATGATGATAATGATAATAATAATAATAACCGCAGTGGTGTAGTTCAACAATTGCAGATGTATTATTATGCTGCATTAATTAGTCCGTCCTCGATAGATATTATAATTATTACCATAGCATTGTGAAATGCAAGAAAAGAATCAAATACAAATAATAATAATAACAATAAAATTAATAATAATAAAAAGGAAATTTTATACAGCGGCGGAGTCCTATTGCTTGGCTTCGATTGCGTCATCAGCCTTCCGAGCTTTGTGCCCGCGGAACGACGCCTGAATCTTTGTAGCGGCTTTGTGCAACTCCGGATCGGCCAAGTCCACGTCCAACAGCTGGTCTATGTCTGCGTCCTGTACACGACAATTTAATGGATGTGTAGTACATTTTATGGGCAAGATCGAAGGAAATAATTTATATCTTACAGTTAACGAAGATGCACGTATGACTATAAATAATTATATTACATACGCATGCGTTTGTTTATTATATTTATTGTTTAAATATTGTCTGAATTGGTCGATGAAATGTCAGATAAATAATTTTATTCCAACCTAGTAGGGTCGACTTTTATGATAAATAACTAATCGGAAAAAAATTTATATCCGGCACCTAGTGAAATAAACTTATCGTGAGAACTTATTGTCTCGTTGAAAAATAACCTTTAATGTCACACGATGCATACATTTTGATCGTGTGAAATGCAACACATCAAATTGTAGAAAAAAATATTTATAACTTTTAATGCTTTTTAATTCAATCGTTTTCAGGTCTAAAAAAAAATCAGCCTAGCATAAACCTATATGAATATTATAGAAGGTGTAAAGTGAACATATATATATATATTTTACATTATGGTATTCGACTTTTAAAACTTCCCCCTATATTTTGATTTCCAATCGAGCATATTGGGTTTTCCATGATTATATTAAAGGTAAAGATATTTCATTTTATTCTTTCGTGAAACACATTTTGGATCACAATTAAAATTTCAACAGWAGATTACCATTAATCTGTATRAAAAGCAATTTAATCACTAACAAAACACAAATATTTTTAAGTACCTATCTAAATGAAGTTAATCTAAAAATTGATTTTTTATATTATGTATTACTACTATTATATCAAGACAATATCATTATGAAATTTTCGTATTTTAAAAATATTTTKTTTTCAAAAGTTTATTGAAAGTATTAAATCCGTAATGGAGTAAATTAATATTATAGTGTATCAGTATGTGTTAATTTATTATTATTGTGCAGTAAATATTACTGTTATTCATTTATTCCCAAACGCGAGCATCGTGCACATTTTTCATGTTACCGCAACCAATCGACCGATATTATTGTTCATCTTCACACAATAATAAAACCCCTAAATGAGAAATAAAATTAACCTTACTTCCCCATGTAGGATTTTAATAAAATTATGAAAATGTGTTTGAATTTGTAAAGTTTTTAACTAGGTTAATGTTTAAGTCTATTAAAATAAAAGYAAATAATATCATGTTTTATATAAAAAAATATCTTGACTTTGAACAAATGTAGTTAAAAGAATAAATATTCTACAAAACATWAAAGAAAAAGAAAACCAATTCATTAAAGTGTTTTAAATTAAAATAAGATCACGGTAAGTAACGTTAATTTACTTTTACTTATTTTTCAAGGTAATTGAMAAAATAAAATATATTAGCTGCTCTAACTAACTTAATTAATTTTTTTTTATATGTCAACATATTTTTTTGATAACTATTTACGTTTATTGTTATATAGTATATACATAGATAAATGTATAAGTACTATAATATTAACAATCGTCAATATAATATAATGTAATATGTGATATAACTCTTTAGATTAATATTATTATCTCGTTAGGTAATAATTATTATCCGCACTATAAATATAGTYACATATAATATGGTAACTATAATTTCAAGATTTCTTTTTCCCTTGTGTTTATCTTATATTCAAAGAAGTATTGTAAATCTTTATCTCTTTGTATGCATATTGTTATAATTTGTTACCTATCTTTCAATATTCTATACTAAAATTTAAATTCCTGWTTAATACAGTAAAAAAGTAATATCTCTATCACTATCTTATTCTCACATATAAATAATAAATATATAATATGATTTATTTAAAATGTACAGTCGGAGCATGTATTAGGTAGATATATATCTGAAGTTGGTTGGGTACTAGACAAATCATAATCATTTAACTTGTTACTAAACATTTGTATAAATGTTCGACAATATTGTGTATAACATTACTTTTAGCTAGTCTAATGATATACTAATACGTATGTTATACATTTTAAATTTATTTATTTTTTAATTCATAATATTTATTATATATTTATTTTATGGCATCGCTGACAGAAGTGCATCATTATTTCCTATATTATGTACACATGTACGTTAACYATACATACATATAACTCAAGTTTAGTTAGCGATTGTTTTAGGTAGGCAGATAAGCCAATAGTGTGATTTATTATAATTTGTGTATTCATAGTTGACTTAAAATTTTTTTTAATCATTTAATAGTCATCACTCACTAATAAACAAATACAAATTGTGTATGAATGTATGATGAACTTATGTACCTTATTTATGTCGATGTTTTTCAACTGCGATTCGAGACTTTCATCTTTAGAAGTCAAACCTGAAGCCGTTGCGCCAGGTTCGTCTTTTCCACAGGCCTGCTGTTTCCTAGTCATATGACCCCGGAATGACGCTTGGATTTTGGTCGCGGCATGACACAATTCTGTTTATAAATATATGAAACTYAAATAAAAAACGAATAGTGTTTGATAACAAGCGTGTGTATGCGTGTGGATTATATTTTAACAAATTCGAAAAAAAAATCACTAAACAAAAAAAGAATTTCTCTTAATCTTGTATTAATACATAAACACACTATTCAGATAGTCCGTCACACACGTCACACACACATACACACACTCACACACAACGACAACGAGTGTGCTAGGAACAAATTTCATTTAAATGTCCTTGGGTGTTCAATTTTTTTTCTTACCAACGTCATCCGGCCGGAATTCCTTTTCGAAATCTACTTCCTCTGATGTTTTCATCGTGTCGGAGTTTTCTTCTTCGCTAACCGAACTGGCCAAACTGTCAAGTTTTCCCAAATCTAAGTACACAGAAACATATACAAAGTAAATTTAATAACGATTCTTTGATTTGATATGAACGTAGATGGCAATATGGCTTGGTTCAAAAGGAAGAGAGCAAAGCAACCCCCAACATTATCTACCAACGTATGCATTTTTTTGTCGTTTACGTCTTGTGGCTGTGCAAGAATTATGAAAAACATAATCAAAATATCAGTCATGAGTCATGATCAATTAACTATGTAAGTAATTAACTAGCTAGGTGTCTAGGTAACCTCGTCAACGATAATATTGTCTGCAAATATCATGCGATAACTTATTGAAAACGTAAGGATTAGATAAACAATAAAGTGAAATCCCCAAGTTAGTTTTCCATAAGTTATTGAAGTACATACCAACTCAAGCTCTCGTCAATCAAATTCGTTATCTGAAATTGTGATTTGACAAATAATAAYGATTGTTACATAGGTACTTCGATTATTGTTTTATACTCTACGACTGCAGACATACTACATACAACATAATACGTTATTATTATTTGTTTATAATACGTGTTCTTTAGGTCATCAGTGTACAGGGCACTGCCCCATTGGTTGTGTATATTGTTTTTGACTTAAAGCGGGAAGATAAATATAAAATATTRTACAATGTTGGTAACCTAATCGTCATTAGATATTTAATACGTGTATAATTTGTGTTACACGTAATCGATTTTCACTGCAGTCTTCCACGTCCTGACATCCTCCTCACGCTTCCTATCATCATTTGGTGATATTAAATAGTGGGCATTAACTCAAAGTGGCATGCACATACGCAAACATTTTTGGCAGATCKTGATTTTCTACATATATTTTCAAAATGACAGTCGTATATTAATCGACAGTATAGATCGGAAGAGTAGATACGAAATGCATTTTTAACGAACTTTTAAAATTTCAAACCCTCGTCATGCCAGCGTAAAATTATACACGTCATCAAAACTTTTGAATTATAAATGCGTTTTGGTTATACGCATTACACACACAAATCTATAACTACTATAAAAATGTATATTTTATGTTAGTCAAATTATGTACCTAAAATTCCAAAACAAGATTTATGGGATTCGTACAATATTGTTATTTGTTTAGTATTAATTATTTATTTAATTTGATGTTGTTCACATTTTCATTTTAGTCATTAAAAAATGTTTGGGAAACAAAAAAATTGGATTGACTTTCCGCATACATTTTAAACACAATTGGCAACGAATATAATATAATGCATATATGTTCATCATATTATACTACTATATTTTATTAAAGTGTTTTAGAAAGTTATGAATATTTAAGTGCATTCAAAAATAAAAAATKTTTTATAACAGCACAATAATAGGTACTTCAAATACAGGAGTGAAAACTTTTTAAGAATTATAAATTTTCAAAGTTGTACAAAAAACAAAAATATAATATAGTACGTACCTACTACGTACCTATAATTTATAAATATTTATAATTTTATTATATAATGAATAGTATATTGTTAACTTTATCTAATATATATTATAATACTATACAGATATTAGGTGTAATAAATATAATATAATACAAACAAACAGTAAGTACATATTTAGTACCAAAAAAATATTTGAATACCTTTACCCAAGTACTTTATACGTTAAAATTAATTTTAAACCTTATCTATATATTTTAAACTTAACAGCAGTCTAGTACCCTTTAAAAAATATTTGAATACCTTTACTCAAATACTTTTACTCAAATACTTTACAAGGGTGCATATATAAATATATATTATACAATAAACATAACAAATTTACACACCCTAAATATGTTTTATAAATTTATACCATAGTTATTCTATAGATAGCATCGTTTTTGTGGGACTTTATATATCCCAGATGGCAGATGCTATATAAATATTACCTATAGTTTAAATTTTTGTTTTGGTTTTTGGCACTCAAACTGTATATTTGAAAAATACGAACAATGAGAAAAAATACTCGAGGAAAAAATACTTGACAGTATAAAATACTCGACTTTTTTTTTGTTAGTAGATAAAATGATAATAAAATGAACATAAATAGATAAACAATAAAAACAAGGGTATATAATAATGATACTAAAAAAATGTCTACTATATAATATACACACACACACACATATTATGTATATATATACACAATACTTTTGGAAAGGGCGGTGTTGAGAAGGAAACATTGCCACACTGGTATATATACTGTGCCCTACATTTCTTTTTTTTAGACTCCGTATATAGTACTACAGTAGTGCAAATCAATGCTCCATTTATTGTACACTAAACCGTTTTATCATATTATTCTTGTGTCTTTTATTTCTTTCCAGTTTATGTTCCTATTTTAATCATTGTGATTACTTTTTAGTCTTTTTACAAGGGGTACAATGTTAATACTTTTTATATAATATATATCACCTACTACACATTCAGTGTAAAATGAGTAAGGCATTATCAGGACTGGGCCGATCAATAGCGGCGCTCCTGGCAAAATAAAAATTTGCATCCCCTCCCTAGATTTTCAAATTTAATTATATCAAATTTTGCGCCCCGTTTCTTCTCCTTATTGAGGTAATCTATGAATCTAAAATTATTTAAAATTATTATGTAGGTACTAGCTGRATATCAAAAATCATGACCATCACACACTGCTGTGAATGATAAATTGATATATTATACATTATGTATATATGTTTATAAATCTTTTGTCAGTATAAAATATAACTAATGGTGAAGATTTCAGTAAGAGTCATAATAAATTATTATTACCGGGAGAAAAATCTTGGACATAAAGTTTTCAAAACAAACTTTTTTTTAATTTATCAATAAAATTATTTTCGCCTGTATGAATAAATGCGTTACATTGTAAATCCTTCTCACAAGTAGCCTAACCTGCAATCTTTCTCTCTCCATATAATATATATTATATAGGCATATTGTGAACTATCAATCAAACAACCTTTCGTGCAAGAAAAAAAAAACAATTTCTATTACTTTTGCAATAAGGTCATAACTCCAAATKATGTAATATTGTCTTTATACATTTTATTTTTAAAATTCAAAATTTAATTTGCTAACAATAATATTTTTTTATAATGTACCACGCTATTCTAAYTAGCTAAAAATCTCAAATATTCCCAAAAATCTTAATAAAATTGTCATACAATAACTAAATAAACTATAAATCATAATATAATTATTAATTCAAAATGTATACGATTCAAATTTGTTCATCCCCATTGAGTTAAAGAGAGTTAACCGAGTGATGAATTTGTGAAAACTGATAATCTCTATTTTATCTTAGCATWCTAACAAATGCTCCAACAACCCTACAAAGTTGCCGAATTTTCAAAAATCTAAAATACATATTATTATTGTATGATTAGGAATTACAGCGTTATTGCAATAATGGCTTGAGTATAGGTATCTTATATAATTATATTGTATTTCTTATAGAATTGAGTAGGTAGGTATCTAAAACACTAAATGCTTATAGCCATATGAAATAATAATAATGTTAGTAGACACGGTACGGTAACTCGATAAGTTTACTCCGAAAAATTCCATTTAAATCATTTAGCTAAGACTCAAATGCACAATACAATATCTACCTACGTTTWTTGTTAAATCAAAATTCACGATGGTAGGAATTGTTGACATGCGCCCATGTCACCCTGTATGTAATATTATTATATAAATAAACCGAAAGTTGGCTGGAAAATGTGTTTTATAGACAGATATTTAATAGTTATATGCGTACATTATATGTATATAATATGACCACCTAAGTGCAAAAACCACCAGAAGCGTTTTCACCAAATACCATAACAAAAAATAAACTCGTCGCTCGTCCGCAAATTATTATTATTGTTATTATCATTATTATTATTATTATTGTTATTATTATTATTATTATTATTATTATTATTGTACTGCAGCAGTCAGCCAGTCACCCTTTGTGCTTAGTGTTTCCGAAATTCGCGTTGTTCGCGCGGGCAATTTATTTCACGACGGCGTAATGTATTTAATATTTATACAATTGCGGAACTACGTCGGACTATATAATAATATATTGTACGYATACATATATTTGTATAGAATAGGTGTGTGCACCAGCTAYTAAATACGCGCGCATACGGYGCCATTAATATTATATTATTAACGATTTATCATCGCGATTCGCGACGTGTAGGTATATATAATATATACAACGCAATGCTTAGGTGTAATTTGCAGGGTACCTAAACGTATGTACAAAATATTACATCATATTTATCATGCAAGTAAATGTGTGTGTGTGTGTTTGTGAGTGGTAGGGGGATATAGTCGATGACACACCACTGTTGGGTCTTTTTGTTTTTCTGAACCAGGGATACTCCTTAGTAAATATAGTTCTAGATTAGGTGCATTATTAATAATATTACCTATATATTATGAATTAATACCGTTCTATTCAGATTGATGTTATAAAATATACCTATGTATAATATATATATATATATTGCACCCAGTGGCACGGAGAGTGGTATTTGTACAACGGGCAAAAGAAAATGTTTATTCACCAAGTTTACATATAGTAGACATATAAGCGGTTATAACTCTAGCACATAATATACTAACAACTATAACCTATACATTATCATATTTATTACCTACTTAATAAAATAGAACATGGAATCTTCACCACTCCCAGTTTTTCGATCGTCATCATGTTATATTTTAAAGTTTATTATATTTTAAAATTTAAAATATAATGCCTAGTAATTATGAAAAATATACCGACGTGGTGGTGTGGAATTTCGAATAAAAAATAAAGTTCATTGAGAATTAATAACGAGAATCGTAATAATAATAATGATAATAGTACATAATTATTTATAATGTTGTACAAGTGTAAAACCGTGATTTTCTATTCGTACCCATGAACACGGTTGTACGTAAAAGTTAACGAAGAAAGAATACTGGCTCACATCGCGAGTAAGAAAAAAATCGACAACAAACTAATTAAACTTTTTTGTAGTGTAACCCTCTCTGCGGAGTGTACGTCCGGTGGTGGGAGGAGGCAGCGAATCGAGTTTAAAACTGCAGACATCTGCGTGCTGCTGATATAATATGCTGATATTCGAATATATATATATTGTACCTAAAAGAATAAATAAGAAAAACGCTGCGACAGTTCGTCGCGAAACAATCGGCTGTAAAAGATAATTTTATAATAGGTATATATAGGTAGGTATTATTATTATTATTATTGTAAATTAACATATTGCAAAGTATAAAACGTCAATTACGCTGCTCGAGCAATGTTTAGTTATTTTTTTTACACATAATGCAAAAACGCAAAAGATGTCCCCGATCGATGGAATCCACGGCTAGTTCCGGAAGGATAAAGGAGGTCAGCGCTGTGTGTCAGGTATATACAAAATAGATGGCCACCAATACAAAAATACAGTTTGCATAGTCACAATTATTTTTGCTKAAATGTGAATAATGGACATCGTGAAATTCGTTGCAGATCATTTTAATTACAATCAACCTGTATAGATTCTGTAAAATATTTTTCTTCATTATTTGTTTTGATATTATACTATAATAATCACGGTGGACTACTACAGCGTTATAACCGGAAGTTATCGCATAGGCCAACACTATAATCACGTTTTTGAACACTACTGCAGCTATACGTGTGTTAAACTCTTATAAAGGCTCTAACATAAGTCTAATAATGGGTACCTACATTACCTATTCACGATTTWTCGTAAATCCAACGATACTATATTAGACAATATTATTTTCATCAATACGCATATGCGCTGTTGGTATTTTTATTTTTTATWCGCCTATTCGCTCACACGTACCTGCAGACTGCAAGTATTACGTATATAATATAAGTACCTACCTATATAGGTACCTACTACTTGCATAATAATATTATAATAGGAATAGGAAATGACTAATAATAATAATGATAAATCGTAAATGTTCGGAAATTGGCGTAATTAATAATATCTACCGTCCTCACCCCCATCCATGCACGTTACCAAGTATAATATAGTCAGTACAAATGGGGGATGGTAAGCGGGGGGATGACCGGTGATGGTGGACTGCAGGTTGGGGTCTCTATAGATAGGATATAATATGTGTGTGTGTGTGTCTTTTATGTATGTGTCTGTCGGTATCTTTGTGTGTCTGTGTGGTGGTTTTCGGCGGCGGACTGCATCGATCGTGGCGCGCGGTAGTTAGGTCGTGGTTGGGGAGGGGGGTGGTGAGCGTACGCGCGTCGCAAGCGAGGGCGGCCCGTGTCGGTCATTGGAGGTCATCAGGTCGCGCGTTCGACCAAGGCCGCGCGTCACCTTATCGGCAATTATATCGCTACGCTGCCACTACTATTATTGCTACTGTTATTCACCGTGTTAACTGCATATACACATAATATGATATGATATATGACGTATATTAACACAATGTTATTGTCGTGTTCTACATATGATATAGGTACTGCATAGAAGTGAGCCTGTAAGAATATCTGAATATATAACGCATATCATAAAACTTTGTTAAGCCCACGACCACCAACCCTCCAACCTATTACGGCAGGARAACTCACTCGCGTCAGTATATTTATGCAGCCTCGTTATCATAATAATATTACGTAATATAATTTGCATGCGTTAAAATATTATGTAATAATAATAACATGATCGTCATAAACGCTGAAGCTGCTGCTTGCAGCCGCGTGTAATACCCGACATTATGCACCGAACAAACAATATTAGCTTATCGAAATTCCCAACTACTCGTCCGTATACGGTGTTGAGTATTCGTTTATATGTAGGCTAGGCTATAGGCTAGGCAGAGGAGGAGGTACTGTAAAGTACTCAATAATAATAATAATAATCGCAATGTATAAAATAAATAATTATACTACGTTCTRCGCGCGACTTCTGATGATGAAGTGTACTCATACAGCACTATCAAATTACACTACGGGACTAAAGTATATATGTATACTTGAATTRCACTAGGGTTGAAATTTCATTTTAATATACGACACAGCCATCCAACCGTCAAGATGATAAAACACTCTGACCTTTTCGATTCATTATATGCGCGCCTTTCATGTTCGACAAGTTTCCTGAAGTCACGGAGTCGTATTTATATTATAATATATATACCTATGTGTAAAGTTGGCCGTTGGGAATAGGGTTGTGACGGGGTTCTAACTTTCCTGTAGATCGTTCTTTTAAAACGCTCATATTCATATAGGAGCAGTGCAGAATATTATCGATAAGTATATGACTATATTATTATGAGTCGTGACACCTGAGATTGAAAACCTATCKGATTCTCGATTCCCCCGTAAAATCGTATTTCATAAAAATATACGCCTCGGATGTGGTGCCACCGCTCATTGCCGCCGTTAAATAATAAATTAGCATATTCAAATGTAGGTACAGAGTTTGGTGCCACTGCGGCACTACAATGAATTTGCGTGTATTGCAGTATTATAACACGAAGCACAAACGGTATGCATAAATACACCGCAGTGATTTTATATACGAGTATTATATACGTCATATTATGAAGTGATATACATAACATGACATCGTTGTCGGTCATAATAACGTTCGATGTGATGACAATAATAATTATAATAATAATAATAATAATAATATATTATAACGTACGAAGACACGAGAAGATCTATCGTATCATAATTATTATTAAAATAATATTTTATACTTACATGCGCGGGCGTGTGTAGTTAGAGACGGTTTCGTGCTGCCGCTGCTGCAGGTGTAATGTAGGTACCTTAAAGCACGCGTGTATGTTTATTGAAAAGTAAAGGTAGGTATATCGCTGCGGTGGAGGTGGTGTTTAGTGAAATATAATAAATGATCGAGCAAATATATTTTATTTTTATTATAATATATTATAAACTCTGCACGCAGGTGGTGTGACACAGGTGTAAGCTGCGTAGCGATCAGGAATGTTTGCGTGTGTGTGTGCAGTACACAGCAGTTTTTTTATAATTTTTTTTTTTAATGTGCCGTAAATGCTGCGGTATATGGAATATTAATAATCGTAATAATTAGTAATAATATCAAATTAATATGATGAAATATCGCAGTGCAGCTAATATTATTCCGTTGGTTTGACGCGATTTCGTTAAAGTGTAACGTACAGGCGGGACAACGACGGGGCGGTCGGGCGCGGAAAGAGTTTTAGAGACGGACGCGGCGCGCTGTCTGGTCTGGCAGCGGCGTCGGCGGTATCGGTGGTGTCGGTGGTGGTGTCGGTGGTGGTGGCGGTGGTGGTCGCTTTTCGGTTCGCGTTCGAGAAGCAGCCGTAGGAGTTAGAGCAGAATGTAGTAGATGAGTGCCGTCGGTGACGGTGGCCGGCGAGCGTATGACGGCGCGCGGTAGATTCGTACGACTATATACCGTGACGCGACGTGCCCCGCACGTTATAAAACGTACGGCGGTGGCGGCACAGAGCGCAAACGCCGCCGCCGGTCGAGTGCGTATCTATTATTATTAGGTATACACATACATACACTATCTATATATATATATATATACGAGAACTTGTCCTATCTGTGTGTGTGTGTGTGTGTGATGGAATTGAAAAAAGCTGTGTCGGCGGCGGGTGGAATATACGTATAATGCCGCGTTCGCTTATATATATATATATATATATATATATATATATATATATGTGTATGTATAGGGTATATGCGGCAGCGCCGGCGCCCCTGACACTCCCTGGCGGTGAGGCCGAGCAATGCGCGCCGCGGCGAGTCGGAGGCCGCGCTCGTCGCGCGCATAATCGCTATGATACACCACCACCACGTCGTCTCGGCGCGCGCGATCCCCGTTGCCGCCGAAGCGCCAGGGACTTCGTTGCATGCACAATGACGTGCTATCGTAGGTAGATATATGTACTACGTGCGTCGTACGCCACATAGGTATGCGGAGGATGTGGCGTACGTTGTATTACAAAGGCCCCACGCCCCTGCCCGACATCCTTCCGGCTCCCACCCGCCATCCCAATCCGTAACCGACTCATGCCGCGATATGTGTAATAGCATCGACATAAGCGATGGAATTTACATCAAACTGTCGAATTCACCGCACCAGTGGTATTTGGCGCAAAAATGCTGTCGTTTATTTATCAATTTGTTTGTAATCTGTTTACAGTCATCGTTGTCAAGCGTCTTATGTATATTATTATACTATGTTATATAATAAAGTTCCTGAAGCCGGCGTATTGTATTACGATATTTATAGTTCTTTTGTGTGCCTATCATCAAACATCATAATACTTGTGATATTGTATGGGGTAACGATGTATACTATAATAATTATTATACGCAAAAAAAAAATACCTACCAGTGACGTTGAGGCGGTCGTTAAAAACAGATTAGTAAAAAATACTAACATGACAACCAGACAACAACAACAACGTCGCTCAACATAATTATATGTTCTATATATATATCATGTTCACTTATGATACGTGTCACGTCTTAACGATATCGTCCGCGGGTAGATCCTAAGTTATTCGTGTGTTACACGTCATAAATATTATAATATTATGCAGTTGGTGACACACACGACGAAACGGAACCGTTATTATTTTTTGTTATTTGCGAAGCATCCACTTACCGTCACTCAACGGTATCAAGAGCGTTTCGGCCGCATCCGACTCGGCGGCCGACGACAGTTTGTTGATGACGTCTACTCCGCCGTCTCCTCCTACGCCTTCTCCGCCGACGGCGCCTCCGTCTTTGCTCGGGTTACAGCCCATGACGACGGTCGGCCGCGTGCATCACCCGCGGTTCTCCATCCGCCGCCGGGCCGGACCGCATCCGATGGCCACCGTCGCTACCGTCCACCGCCAGCCACGGCTCTTGCTGCAGTCGTGATGGTGGCCGAAACAGTATATAGGTGATTCCGTGACGCGCGGTGCTGCAGACCGCTACGCTCACGTCGACTACGGTATCGTCGTGTAATAGCAGCGTGTAGCGTCGACGTACATCAACCGCCGAGTCGTAAGTACGGATTGCGTGGGTGGTGCGGTGCAAGCGACTACAAGGCGCATAGGTATTTTCGGTAACGGACGAGAATGAYAGGGTGAGTGAATAGCAAAGAAAGAGAGTGAGAGAGAGAGAAYGACAGGGAAAGGACGAAAAAATAGGCGACTACGATGCGGCCGTATTACTATACACGTATAAAATGTGGAATATATTATGCTATAATATTATAAGAGTGGTAGTGGAGCAGGCGTACCTATTTTTTAGGGTCGCCGCCCAACCCTCTCCGTTTACATGAAGTGTTTCGTTTACTCTTTAGAGCATATACACAGGTATATATACCTGCATAGTTTATAGTCGTTATACTTCGCCCCCGTCTTGTGTTTTATTTATTTTTCCTAAAAAAAAAAGACGAAAAACGCACATCGCCTACGACGGCCATCCGCGCCGTTTATTATAGGCAGGTTATATATGTATATACATAGGCAGTTTAGAATAATATAAGTGTATTAAGAGGTCGGTTGCCATCGGTAACAGACAACAGCAACAACAATAATAATATGTAAAAGGAACTAAACGGGGGCTAGGTATATGGACATTTACTCTAGAATGGCCGACTGAAGTGGTGTCGGAGTGGGCAGAGGGGAGGGTTCCTCCCCACCGCGCAGTCCATGGAATATTATTTAATGTGCATAGTGCACATATATATATCGACTGGACGCCGTCGGGTTTTTATTCGCGTTGATCACGCATTCATATTATACGTAGGTATATAATATAATATCAACCCTCCCGTCCCTCCCACCGCTACGCGTAGATGCATAAATAAATATATTACACAGCTAGGTCAATGGTTTATGTATATAAAGTGATTCTGGTAGAGGTAATAACCCAGTTCAAAGATTTTTATTCTGTCTAGTAAATCAGAACCTCACAGGATATGCGGCTGATAAATTGTGAGCTACTTAAAAATATAAATCCATATATATTATTAAGGATTTAAAAAAAAATATTATTACTATTATAAGTGCTTTTATAGGTTATTGAGTTACTTGGTTATTAGGGTATTATTTATTGGACGCCTGCAATAGTTAACTAGCAGGCACCTATACTTAACTATCGCATGCATATTTGAATATTTCCATGACCGTTCCCAAAATTTGCGTTTCATTCCCCTGCCAATCAATCATATGCAACTGACATGCGCGAAATCAAAAATCGATTTTAGTGTGTGGAGAATGGCATGCAAATTTCGGGAAATGTAATAAAAATATATGTTAATTATGTGCTAAATATTAGTGCGAGAAAATAAATTGGAAGTAAGTAGTTATTTTAACCGATGTCTAAAATCCCTTCTTACTTATTTTTGATCTGGCGCATAAATCAAACCCATGAAAATAAACATAAAGTTTTTTTTTTTATTGATTTTGGTAGTTTAATTAATAATAGATGTATCTATTCGATTTGAATAAAGAAATAATGTTTCACGATAAACTAAATCAGGTGTAATTTTAAATTTAGTAATATTTCTAATAGGTGCCTCTAAAGGTAAATCCCACTTTTTCAATCTTCATAGTATATAGAAATGAGTTTGTACCTACAATGGTTGTAAAATTAATTAAAAATGTAGGGTTCTGAAGTTGAAGGATATAGGTACAGAATATAAAATTATAAAAAGAAATTAAAAAAAGAATAATATATACTACTACGCGATAAATTGGTTTCGTGTCCTGAATACATAATCGCATTTTCTGAGAAAAAAAAATATCCTCCGTGAGGCTGTTTGCTACATAGAATATGTTTTGACACATTTGTTAGGTACTACAAAAGAGTACAAATGTAATCGGTGTGCTTGTAAACGGAATTTTATATTATGTAGATTCATTGTGTAATTTAAAATGTCCAAAGTATAACAAATACAGACTTATAGTTGTTATTTAATGAAATTTATCTACCTATGTAAAAGCAGTTCAGTAAAATATAACATTTTATAATTAATTAAAAACCATATTGCGACTAAAAAAAATATTTTAGGTACACGGGTTTTTTTATTAAACAACAAAATTATAAATAATGTCTACAGTTGTAGTAGACTGTTGTATCTTGTATGACAAACTTAATGGTTGAGATCATTAATTAGTTGAAGTTATAAATATATATTAATACATTTGATTTTTAAAACATTTTTTATGATTCCTGTAAACAGAGATCTGGGAAATACTTACAAAACAGGTTGGTACATACATTTTTATTTAACAAATATAAAATATAAAAAATATTTGATTTACTTAAATAATTATGTTGTTATTTATTAAAAATACTATATGCATCGATTAGAAATAGTATTTAAAACTTAAACATAATACACCAAATGCTTAAGAAAAACACTTAATACAAATTAAATACCTAAAATTGTTAAATATTCAATGTTCAATAATTCAAATGCAGCCCATTGCACATATCTGTATGTAATTCCTAAACACTGACAGTATTTTTTATTAATGTTATTGATCTATAGTCAATAGCATTAATAGACACTTACGTTATCATTTAAATTATAATATCATTCACGGTACCATACACACAGTATATATTATTTACTATGTATAAATTAATTTATAATGTATATGCTAATGTTACATATATAATAATATTCCTTACAACCTTAGTTCTAATTAGGCACCTATATTAAGAATAAACTACTAATATTTCATCCACCATATCATATACGGAGGCACGGAGTGAGATACAAGTATACATACATATATATATATATAATATACATAACACCGGTAAAACACATGATGTATAAAAATGTATACAAGCACCTACCTCGCTTTATATGCAACTCGACACTCAAGAGTGTTATTGTGGCTTATATTTTAATATTATTATTGTTATTTCGATCTCAACACACATATAGTGACACATCATTCATATTGACATATGTATAATGTATATATTATTATACTTCATGGTAGGTATGAATAATAATTTACTCTGCAGGTATATGTTATTAGGCTAAAAGTGACTACATGAAAAATCCATTGTTATGTCTACAATATATAAACTATAAATTATAATGATATAACAATATCGTACTGCACAGTACACAATGTAATGACAGTAGTTAGTATACAAAATATGCGACCGTTCTATACTTGTATTATGAATTTATGTCATAATGACATCGTTATTATGCAGCACCAGTCGTGCAGACTGCAGATTACTCGCAAAAATCACAATGGCATGCCACGTTATCGAAGAATGCAAATGCTAAATTCACTCGAATTATTATTATTATTATTATTATTATTATAGGTATGGTATTATTATTGACGTGGATTATTTGAATAGCTCATAATAATTAATGTATCAAATGTTATATAGAATTATTTTATACGTTGGAATAATGTTTTTAAAATATTTATTGAGGTACAAAAAAAAAAAACAAGTAAATATCTACCTATTCTACCAATTATAATTTATGTTTTTTGAAATTGCTATTTATTAGGTAAATCATTGGTCAATGGTTCTAGTTCTTTAATATATAATGGCATTTTCGTGATTTTTAAAATAAAGGCATTTTAAATATTTTATACTTAATTGTTAATACAATGCATCACACCGTATATTTTAATACTCATGGTACCTATAATAAAAATTGAATATACGTTCAATATAATGTATAAGAAATTCAAAATGTTTAATACAAAAAATAAATAAAATATCACGTTTTTTACATCACTATTCCCTACAGTGTATTATTATTATATCTACAATGAAATGATGACAAAGTCACCGATCGGTTACTTTATGTACTGCTATAGTGTCCGATTTCCGAGCGGCAAGCACCAATAAATTCAGCTTCTCGCGTTTACGGACGTGTTTATTAATATTATATTAAATTATTACTATCTTCGTTTGTGAAATACCGGGGGACGAAGCCGGATCACCAGCTATATCATATCATATATCGAGGTTGTTAACTCCACGTGAATTGTGTGGTAGAACTATCCTCCAGTGTCATATATCAAACGTGTAATATGTATAGGTACCTATACATCAATATATTGCACCCATGTATTATAAGGGAATCACCAAGCAAGTTTAGCCATCTAGTTATATTTTTTTATATACGTAATATACATTTATTCAAATACTTATTTTAAAAAAAAAAAAAAAATACTGTACTGAACAGGACACTTTTTATATTTTATGTCGTAAAAAAACCTATGTATTTGAAATTATTGACTTTCGTTGTATAG